TTAATCGTGTCCCTGGACCACAAAAATTATAACCTGGGAGGTGTATTTCAATGGGTAACTTATCTATAATACTATTCAGAACGCCGCGTTTCATGTATCAGGTTTGGTGTGAGTGCTTTCACTATTGCGAACCAACTGACTATATAAGTAACGTTAACTCTAAATTTATATATCCGTTAACACAGCAAAATCGTTTAATAATGAAGAAACATGCGGATAGTACAACATCCATCTGCTCTACCGATAACCAATCGCGACTTCAACATTGCTGCGAAAATAAATCGTCATGGGCCTTTATTACCATCAACAATAAGATGCATCGTCGCTGGACCTTCAAACTGTGGAAAAACAAATGTGATTATAGGACTTTTGGAGCAACCAAACGGTTTACGGTTTGAAAACGTTTATGTTTATTCAAAGTCGTTATATCAACCAAAATACAAATATTTAAATGAATTATTACAACCAATTGCTGGAATTGGTTATTTTCCTTTTAGAAATTCTGATGAAGTAATAGGTCCATCACAGGCGAAACCTAATTCTGTATTCATCTTTGATGATGTTGCGAATGACAATCAGAGTAAGATAAGAGAATATTTTAGTATGGGAAGGCATAACTCAATCGATACTTTTTATTTAAATCAAACATATGCTCAGATCCCTAAACATTTAATCAGAGATAATGCTAATTTAATAATACTGTTTAAACAAGACGAATTAAATCTAAAACACGTTTTTTCCGACCATGTTACTGCAGATATGACTTTTGACCAATTTAAAAGTATATGTGGAGAATGTTGGAAAGAAAAATTTGGATTTGTAGTTATTAACAAGGATTGTGGTATAAATGACGGGAGATATCGCATAGGATTCGATAAATATATATTACTGTAGGTAATATAAATGAAACCACTTGTTAAAAGACAACCATAACAACAGCATGGATGTGAAAGCAAAGAAAGAACTAATCAAAGTTAGGAAAGCAGTAAAGAGGAAACTGCAAATGTTAAAGGAATCGATGGTAGGACAGAATCTTCTATTGCAACAAGCTTATCAACCAATTACAAAATCGCTTCTTCACTTGAAATCTGAGTTGGGTGAAGAGATCAAAAAGGAATTAAAACCAGAGGTTGTTAATTGGTCGAAAGTTGATATTCCAGCATCATCAACTCCAATAAAAATTAGAAAACTTGATCCTTCGAATGCTCCAGCTACCATACTTCAAGGTCCTCCTTCCTTCTTAAGGGAAGAAAGTGTATATGAAGTTGACCCAAGAAGGGATGACAGTGAGTTCGAACAATTAAAAAAAGCATATATAGATTATATCAATAGCTCTCGATTTGGAGAATATTTGGAGGAATTCGATCCTCTACCTCGTGACTATATAGAAGGAATTATTAAAGACTATGAAGGTGATAGATTTAACACTGACGTTGTGAATCCCCGTCTTGACAAAGTTCGATACGAATGGGACACAAATAAATTTTTTATCGGTGATTCTGAAATAGATTTTGATGGATCAGACGTCGTAATCGATGGAAAATTTAAATACACAGGTACTGTGGGATTATACGAGCAACTGTTTAAATTAAGTTCTGAATATCCGACAACAATTAAAGAACGGAGAGACTTTGCGGATATATTAAAACGTACGGGAGCAGTATACAATTTAAGGCAGCAAACAACGAAGCCTTCTAAAGGTGGAGGCTTAGCGTTGTTGACTTACAACGAAAAACCGATAGAATACAAATATTTTGATGATGTTGATGAATTGTGTGATCGTTTAAAGTTATTGGTTGCTTCTCAACAAGCAGGCAACACAAACCATGAAAACGAAATGCAGTCAGTTTTAGAAGAGCTGCGGGAGTCTAATTTAATCGAATAAACGAATTGTTGGGATGGTTAGTTAGACAATGGTGGTCGATAAGTTCGAACGTGCGTTAGAAAAAAAAACGATCACATTCTCGAGCATTTAGCAATGTTCACGATTTTAATCATAACCGCTTCACAAGAATCGGGGACCCTCAGCAGGAGCATGATGCTGTTAATGTACGATTTTTGGAGAAGAAGCTGAAACTTCTTTTATCTCAAGATGATATAGTGAATATTAGGAAGGCATTCGACAAAGTATTATATTTTGTTGACGTGGGTAATAAACGTATTATACACTTGAATGAGCCTACAGCTGGCTTTCATGCAGCTACAAAAAAATATGTAGACGAAAAGGATAGGTTAACAAAAGAACATATCAGAATAGAATGTGAAAGAGTAAAGGATAGCGCTGTCAGTGAAGGAGATAGAAAGATGAAGGATTTACGAGAAGAATTAAAAACACTTGTCTCCAAAAGTAATCAAAAGATGATGAAAACATTTAATGATAAAATGGATATATTAATTAAAAATATGGGAAGAGAAATTGAAAATTATAATAATGATAGAGATAAGCAAATAACAAAAATGGTTAATGATGTGATAGAAAAGAATGGCGTCATAATCATGGACACCCTTTCAGCAAAAATTACATTGGAGTGTAAAAATGTAGAAACATTTGCTAGAAAAGGTGACGAAGAATTGTCGAAGAAACTAAAGAGCGACATTGTGACAAACATGAAAAGAGATATAGATGTGAGTGTCGAATTAATAAAGACATTGATTAAAGATGAGTGCAAGAAAGTTATGGAATTTG